TGACTAATCATAAGCAATTTACAGAAAAATAATCAATTGTGATTAGTAAATTTCTTACGACTTACAGCTTACGACTGTATTGTAGAACAGGCCTTAGGGCTATAATATACAAAATGACAGAGTGCGTTTGCTTTGGGCGTCAGTCTATCTTTCTTCTACATTTTAAGAACAATAAAGACGGACTGATGCTAAAAGCGCGTAAGCGTTCAAATCGAACGCATTTATAAGGTGAGGTCAAAGCCTCACTGCAAACGTTTCAAAGCATCGTTCTATCTTTATTTTTTGTTAAATGTACTGAATAAAGATAGAATAATGCTTCGAACCATTTGCAGTAAGTCTTTAACCCCACGCATAATTGCATATGCATAGCATAAAACTATATAGACCAATAAGCGTCTAGTATTAAGTCGCCATATTGATGTACATAAAATCATGCTGGACGCTCATTGGTTTCTATAGTTATATGCTATGCATATGCACTCTGTTATTTTGTGTATTGAGGCCGAAACACAGACTTTTGCATAACGCATAACGCATAAGACATAAGAAAATCAACCAAACAGAGGTTTTTATTTTCACCCTCACTTCTTGTTCTTCAGATTTTGATTGATTGATTTTCTTATGTCGTATGCGTTATGCGTTATGCAATAGTCTGTGCTTCGACCTTTTATAGCTCTTATTGGTCATTATGAACGCTAATTAGCAATACAGTGTCAACCCACAAAAACTGAAATATTGAGATATTTATGTAGTATGCTCTATTAACCAATCAAAGAACGTTTTTTAATCGTATTTTTAAAAACTTGAATGTTTTTATATATTAAAAATACACAAACATGTTAAAAGAAATATATATTATACAAACATCTTTTCTTTTTATTTTTAAAGCGTAATTTTCTCAAAATAGCGATGTGGAATGACACTGTATTGCGTATTAGCGTCCATAAAAGAGTTGTTCTTTTTCCATACTTGAGGACTCTGTGCAACATCATGTATGTGTGTATGTCATTGAATGTTTGTCTCCTCTTGTCTCGCCGTTATGCTTAGTAGGGTGACAACTAATATGAATAGGTGTGTACAAATATTTATTTTAATCATTCTTATAACAAACAGTTTATATCCAGAAGTCACATTTTCATATATTATATTGTAATGTAAACAACCTGCTCAAGCAGATAAAAAAATAAAATGATCTAAACGCTCATTTCTTATTCCTATAAGTCTACCAAATTTATTAAAGAAAAAAACCAACTCAGTGGACTACCGACAACTTCGGTCTATTTTAATTATTTAAAGATATTAAATTATTATGCACTTAAAGGTAAAAACTTATATATATACATAAATAATATACATATTAAACCATATATAATATATTTTTTAATTTTACAATATCAACATACTGTACCGAATGCATTACGCCATGTTCATTGCTGCACTATGGCGTTCTTTATACACCCATGTGAATTGTTGCACTTGCCTTATACTCATGTGCATTCTCTTGTCCTAGTTTAGAACTAGTACAGTACTGGAAGGTGGAAAAAGAACAAACCTATAGTCTTATGCTATGCATTTGCAGCTTACGTCATTTTGTATGACCCTTACTCTTAAGACTGCTTTTATATGAAGCGTATTTTGCGTCAGTCAATCAAATTGTCTTATTGTATTTGCGTATGGTAGTTGTGACGATTTGATTGGCTGACGCAAGCTATATATATATATACGTTCCATGCAAAAGCAGCCTGACTATTAACACTTAAAGCCCGTTCTACATTGAACGCAAGCAGCCGATTGCACGATCTCAGACAATATTGCGATTCAAACGTATGAATAATCAAGGCTCGTGAAAAATTGAAACTAAGAATGAAGAGGCCACTAAGAGCCATCTAAATAGGCCAATACGAGCCATTCCCAGGATGTTGTGCAGGAATAAGCGTGCATGTGTATATATATA